AGCTGTTTAAAGTTCAAACTTATCTGGGCATCTTATGTTTCTGTTTGCTAAAATTGGCTACCCTAGATATTCAAATGAAGAAAATGGACAGCCCTTGCCCCTGCCTTCCAAGCACTCACATTCATTTTTAAGAATAGGTTACAAATAGATTAAATAAATATGCACATAAAGAATGGGGCAGGGGCAGGGCTGACAGGAAGCATGAGAAGGGACAGAGGATGCCCAGGGTGTCATTTCTTCTGGGGCCAGGCAAAGAGAGTCTCTCTGGGGAGGTGATGTCCGAGCTAAGACATGGCCAAAGAATGATAGTGTCAGAGGGAACAGCAGGTGCAGAAGCCCTGTGGTGGGGTCATGCTGGGCATTTTCTAGAGCAAGTGACTGATCCACAGGCAGAAGGAGAGAGAGAGAGGGTGGTTGGGCATGATACTCAAAACAGCTGAGGGAGCCGATGTAGAACTTGGCCTTTCTGTTTCATTCTAAACTTGACAGGAAGCTACTGGAGGGTGGCTGTATGTATGGATGGATGTATATATTTAAAAGAGTTTAATTACATGTATGTGTCTGTGTCTCTATGACTATGTTTGTGAGTGCCTGCCAGAAGAGGGCATCAGATCCCTTGGAGTTGGAGTTAGACAATTGTGAGCTGCCTGATGTGGGGGTGCTGGGAACTAAATTCAGGTCCTCTGCAAGAGCAGTATGTATTCTTAACTGCTGAGCCATCTCCCTAATCCCAGGTATGTGTATGTTCAAGATTTTTACGTGTATGAATATTTTGCATGAATGTATGTATCTGCACCATGTTCATGCAATGCCCGGAGAGGGCATTTGATCCCCATGGAACTGACATCATTGGTGCTTGTGAGCCGCCATGTAGATGCCAAGAACCAAACTCAGGTAGTCTGCGATCGCGACAGTGATTCTGCCATGGAGCCAGCTCTCCAGGCCCCGGACGTAGATTTTTAAAGAACCCTCTTGTTGCTCAGTGTTCAGGCACAAGTAGAAACAGCGGATCCGAAGAGGAAGCTGCTGTGGTCTAGCAGGAGGGAGGTGATGGGACCTTGATGATGAGCAGGAAGAGGAATGGTGGGGCTGGCGAGAGATGGTCAGGTTTGGGGATACGTTTGAAAAAGGTCTCCCCTCAGTTTCTGAGTTTGGGTGTGGGATGAGGAGAGGAAGCAGAGCCGCTCTGATTTCTGGTGGATAAATGGGAGGGCAATATGTGGGCTGGGGGTTAGGAAAAACAACACAGCATCAGGCATTGGCTTTGGAGATCTCTTTTGGATACCCAAACGAGCAATCTGAGCCTGCATATCCCAGAGAGACCCAGAGGCGGAGCTGCACATGATGGATTGCTTTATGGCTGTCACCTGACCCTCAGTCTTCTCTCAGGTCCTCCAGTGCTTCATATTTTCCTGCCTCAGGGCTCTCACACATATTATTCCTTGACTAACTTCTATTCAACCTAATGGTCCCAGTTTGAGGGAGCCAAAGGCTTCCCTGCGTTTCCTATCGACATCAAGAGTTCCCTAATGTGATCACGGGCACACCTTTTTTCCTTCTATGGTATTATCTGTGTCTGTAATTGGGGTCAATATTGGCCAAACTGAGCTGGATTCTGGGTCAGTCAGTACCAATGTCTGCTGCATGTTTCAACCCCAGTGGCTCCACTGGTTTGCCACTCTGCTTTTGTTGGGGAGGCTGGGGACATGAAAATGCCTTTACAGGAGTGTCAACAGCAGAGCAAGAGAAGGGCCATGGAGTTGTGCTGTCAAGGCCTCTGTCCCACCCCATCCAGGGCCTCCCATGCATAGAGGTCATGTTTTCTGCCCCATTCTTGCTCTGGAATAAAAGAATACGCATTTCCCCAGCCCAAGGCCCCAACCCTCAAGCTAGCCTTGAGAAAAGAATGCCCCTTGCTCCACAGCTCCCATGAGAGCATTGCTCTGGGTCAGGGCCTGGTCTGAACCCTCCCTGTAATAAGCTGCCTTAGTGCAGAGGTCATATCTAGGTTGGTCTGAGAAGATGCCTACTTTTCTGAAGGACAACCAAGTCAACATTCTGAGTGGAAAGTGGGGAACGGCTCTTCCCAAGGCTGGCTTCTGTGGAGCACTCCATCAGTGGAGAGGCCATCTTCCCTTCATTGGCTTAGCTTGTTCTTGGGGGCAGCAAGACCAGATTGGAGGGAAGTAGGTTCTTGTCCTAGCAGTTGGGTAGCCAGGTTTAGCCTCAGAGAGGAGGATGGTTAAAGAGAAACCTATCCATACAAAGAGAGTCATGCCATCTATCCCTTCTTCCCATCTCCACCCACCTGTGTATCCATTTACCCATCCATATATCAATCCACCCATCCATCTAAACATACATCCTATCCATCCATCTATCTATCCATCCATCTATCATCCATCCATCCATCATCCATCCATCCATCATCCATCATCCACCCATCTTTCCATCCATCCATCCACACATCCACACATTTATCCACCTAAAACCATCCACCCATCTGTGCAAACATCTCTCTATTCAAATACTCATGTATCCACCCAAGCTCCATTCATGAATACACCACTGTACATAAAGCTGTGAATGAGGTTGTCATGGCCCCCACCTTAGTGGATCTCATAGGTCTTTGGAGATAAAATTCTCTGATTGGCCAGGTCTGGGTAATCCATTCTCTTCTTCATCAGGCACGAAGGGACAACTGTGTTGATATTTCTACCAAGTTCCTCTTAAGAGCAGCTTCCCAGGGGCTGGAGTACAGTTCAATGGTGGAATAATTGCCTAATATTCATGAGACTTTGGGTTCAGGTCCTAACACTGAAGAGAAAGTAGCTTCCCAGATGAGCACCCCTGGGAGCTGTTACCAGAACAGAGGAGAAAGGATTCTGGGCAGGCACAGACAAAGGATGACCACTTGATCAGAAGCATTTAGTCATCATGGGTGGGGCAGATCAGCAGTTCTCAACCTGTGGGTCACAACCCCCTTTGCATCAAATGACCCTTTCACAGGGGTCTCCTAGGATCATCAGAAAACACAGATACTTACATTGCAATTCATAACAGTAGCAAAATTACAGTTATGAAGTAGCAACAAAAATAACTTTATGGTTGGGGGTCATGAGGAGCTGTATTAAAGGGTGTCAGCCTTAGGAAAGTTGAAAACCACTGGGGTAGAGGGATAGGAAAGAATGGGAAAGAATGGGCAGGGTGGATGAGGATTCAAGAGCTTGTCTTCATCTGTATGACAGTGGGTCTTTTGTTTCTCCTTGGCCAAATATCGGAGTCTGACCTGGACCCCTGTTGTAAGGACCTGTGAAGATCCATTTCCTCCTAGAGATGTGGATATCAAGGTCTTGGCTGGAGTCTGAACCAGTTGCTGTCACATTGGCCTCTCATTTGGAAGCATATGGAGAACTTTTTTAAAAACACAGATGCCAGGAGCCCCATGGCCAACTTTTAGTGTTCTGGTTAAATTGGTGCCCCATGAGGCTCGGGAAGCTGAATGTGTTAACTGGTCTCCATGAGATTCCAGTGTGTGCCTGGGTGTTAGGAAACTCTACACAGTTGTGCCCCTTCACTTCCGTGTCCTGTGACGAGGGCAGAGGGATGGCCTTGCAGATGCTGCATCTCAGCAAATGTTTGTGAGAAGGGTGGTGAGAGCTGTTCCTTTGTTTTTGGCTGCGAGAGTTTCTCTCTCTCTAGCCCAGGCTGACCCCAAACTTGAAGCAATCTTACTACCTCTGCCTCTCAGGGGTTGGGATTATTGGCATGCATGACTATGCCCAGTTCAATGATGGACAGCTTGAAAGCAGACCTCCATGGTGGAGTAATGGCTCCTCCTGGAGAGTGCCTGCCTCTGTCCCCCTTCCTCCTGGTCCACACTGTCATTATCATCAAGCCTGGGTTGTGGCCAGGACCTGAGGCTCCTCCCACCCAGACTTCTGATCTTTTGATTTTTTTCCTGAAGTCTTTTTTTTTGTTTTTGTTTTTGTTTTTTGTTTTTTTTTCGAGACAGGGTTTCTCTGTGTAGCTTTGCGCCTTTCCTGGAACTCGCTTTGGAGACCAGGCTGGCCTCGAACTCATAGAGATCCGCATGCCTCTGCCTCCCGAGTGCTGGGATTAAAGGCGTGCGCCACCACCGCCCGGCCTTTTTTTTTTCCTGAAGTCTTAATCACCTCCTCACATGTGGCCCCATGTGAAGGCCTGACCTTTAAAAAGCTGTTCTGGTCATTGTAACCAGGGGCATCGGGGACCACTGCCCGTTTCTCAGCTTGAGAAGTTAGAAGCTGGAAGGCTCATTGGAGGGTGGCCCTGGGTTCTGATGTGTTCAGCAGCCACCACACTTTCACCTTGGGGGCTTGATCAAAAGTTCATATTCCCGGGCTTGAATCCAGACTTATGGAACCAAAAGCCAGGGGGAGGAGCCTGGTAATCTACATTTTACATCAGCAGGATGTACGAGTTACCTGTCAGCCCTGCCTCCCACACACCAGACCACTTCCTGTTCTCACTGCCAGGACAGGGTCCCCAGATCGTCATCAATCAAACTCTTCGAGTGTCACTTCCCCCTGGCGCCAAAGCCTTCCCACCCTCTCTCCTGGTGGTCAAAGTGTGTCTTTATCCCTTATCTGTCCCACAGGGCTACAGTGGCTGCTATATGCTGGGTGGCGTGTGGTAGGTGGCCCAGGCCTGGTCCATTGAGGTTGGGGCTTGCAAGTCGGACACTTGGAACAGCACCATGCCAGAGAAGACAGGGCACCCCTCCCCAGCGAAGGAGAGGAACCAGGAAAGACTTAGCGAATGGTCCCTAAGGTAGAGCTCGCAAGCTGCAGCTTCTGGCGGGACTGTGGGCTAGACAGTGGCAGGTGAAGCAGAAGTTGCCTGGGCCTGTCACTCAGGCCAGACCGGGCTGTGCCCCTCCCCGTCCGGGTGGCGCCCCGCCCCGCCAGCCACCGCCGTCCCGCCCCCGCCCCCTCCAGGCTGCAACAGGTGCCTTGAGCAGGAAGCTGGCGCCGCCACCCGCTCCCCGGACGAACGCGTCCAGGACCCACTGCGCTTGCGAGCCATCCCCGGCCCGGCGTGCGCCCCAGACACGGTGACCCCGGTTCGCGCGAGCCTCCTCCCCTCACCGCGACCCTACCAGGCCCCGTAGCCCGGCTGCCCCGAGCCATGGACGTCCCCGAGCAGCAGCCCGACCCCGACGGTGGGGACGGCCCAGGCCACGAGCCCGGGGGCAGTCCCCAGGACGAGCTGGACTTTTCCATCCTCTTCGATTATGACTATCTGAACCCCATCGAAGGTCGGTGGAGGCTCCCCGCCGCCTGGCCCTCGAGCCCTGGCGGGGACATGGGCCTGGGGACCCGGTGCAGGGCTTCCTCAGGAGTTTGCAGCAGGGATTGCCCCTGCCCTGGTGACAGGGAGGTTAGCTGAAGACAGTGGCTGCACCATCCTGAGGGGGGCGGTTTCCAGTTCCTCCTGAGGGTCGCTGTTAGCATCAACAAAGGATGGTCAGGTCCCCAGGACATCCCAGAGGTAGTGGAAGTGATGTCTTATCCTTCTGAGAGTGGAGTCGGTGGAGGGGTGTGTGCCCAGGGATGCCAGGGAGGCTGCTACAGAGTCTGACAATCTTACCCCTGAGACAGTGGCCCTGCGGCATCCTGGAAGCCGGTTGTTGGGGACTTTGTGTTGAAACTAAGGAAGAGGCTGTGTGTCTAATGCTAGAGGGTGGTTTGCCTTGGGTGTCAGGAGGCTGGCCCATTTCCTCTCTGAGTTTACAGTCACCGCAGGTGGACCAGCGAAGCTTGCTAAGTGATCTTCCACCAGCCCCTCACCCATGCTATAGCAGATGGGCACCTGGGTGAGGAGGACACGGGTTATTTCTGCCTGAGTTCAGTCTGTGCCTTCATTTGCTCTCAGCTGCTGGGGGCTGGGCAGACGCCCCCGTCACTTCAGTATTCAGTAACACGCTGTCAGGCAGGAGGAGGCTCTACGCCAAGCCTCACATTTTCTGGTTAGAAAGCTTGTTGTCTGGGAGCAAACAAGAACCTAACCGGGCTTCCTGATTTTAACAGCTCAGCCCATGCTTGTGGCAGGATCAGGGGCAAGGCTGCTGGCAGCCTCCAGATGCCCCAATGGCTCCAGGCTTGCTGGCATCTGGTGGAGCCTGGTGCGTAGGAAGGGCTGTGATGCTGGCTGGGGAAAGATGTCGGTTGCTGAGTCCTGGTGACATTAACCCTTTCCCCCAGCAGGTTCCTCATGGACGACCTTTGGGAAGAGACTTGCTTGGTGACAGTTTTGTGTTTTGGCTAGAGGTGGTGACAGTGGTGGGGGAGCGGGTGTTTGTGTTTCAGAGTTCCATTCTGGGGACAGCCTTCCATTGAAAAGACACAGTTAGGACTCTGTAAGCCAGCCACACATATCAGTGGTCTCTGCATTCATTAAGATTAAAGTCATGTCTGGCGGTGTGTTCTCAGGTTTACAGTCTCTCTCTCTCTCTCTCTCTCTCTCTCTCTCTCTCTCTCTCTCTCTCTCTCTCTCTCTCTGAGGTGAGGGTGGAGGGTGAGGATTTCCGGGGAAATAGTTTCCAAGCCAAATCTGGTGGGAGGTGCTTTTTATAGTTTTTCTTGGCAAGTGGGGCTCGGCGGCCATCAGATGGGCAGCTTAATGACCATGTGGAAGCCTAGTAACCTGTGATGTTGTTTTTTTAATAATAAACTTTATTTTGGGGTTCCAGTTCCCCATTTATAGAGGCACTATGACAGTAACCCAGAATTCCCATATACCCAGCACCCTTCCCTCTTGTTCTGGGCCTGGGGCGTTAGCAGGGTATATCTATTTGGTGCTGATCCTTGGTCATTAAGAAAAGTTCATGCTTTTTCGGTGTGTGTGTGTGTGTGTGTGTGTGTGTGTGTGTGTGTGTGTGTGCGCGCGCACATGCTTTCATAGCCTTGAAGTACTGTGTTAGAAATAGGTGCTATAGATATGTTATATGCAGCCTATTTAATTTATGTCTGTGACAGGGTATCATGTAGCTTAGGCTGTCCTGGAATTAGACAGCTTCCTTACCACAACATCTTCAGTGCTGAGATCACAGGCCTATGCTGTGTTTTGAGTTTTTCTGTTGTTTTTCTCATGGTTAGATTAGGGCTAGAGGTGTTTGGGAGATCATAGGAGTGTGGGGCCATTCTCTTTTTATGTCAAGGGTACATACTGCCAGCTTGATTCACTGCTGTTGACCTGACCTTCCCCGGAGGGGAAGGACCTGTGAGTTCCTTCGTGGTGCCTCCTTTCCAAATTGTATTCTTAGGAAAGTCACTCTGTGAGACCCTTGCTCAGGTGAGCGAATGATGCTCTGGGAATCTGTTGGAAAGTGAGGTCTCTGGGTGTAGGAGGGGCAAGCATCACAGAAGGGACTTCATGAGACTTGAGAGGCAGATGTGAGATCATCTCTGGGGTCAACCCCTCTCTGTTTCTTCATGGTAAGACTCCCTGAGAGCTGTGGTGAACTTTATCTTGATATAGGTCTAGGATGATAGTGTCTTAATGATGTGCCTTAAGTTAGCTGGCCACGAGCCTAGCACAATCCATGGGAGGAAAAGGGTCAACATCGAGACAGATGCCACATGAAAACCTGTGAAGGCACATAAGAAAGTTTTGGGAGGTTGGATCATTGGCAGCGGTGGGATGTGGACTGGCCCACGGAAAGCAAAGAACCAAAGACAGGAAGAGTGGGCTAGGCCAAGTCACTTAACCTCTTTTTGGCCCTTGTTTGCTTATTTGTAAGTGGCTAAAATAATAGTTCTGTCACACAGTGTCCTCTGAGTGAGTTAATCCACTGAAATTAACCACAGTGGGTTTTGTCTCTAGCATTTTTTAAACCCTCCCTCTCATGGTCAGCATGAGCCATTCCTCAGTCACTCATCCAGCTAATTTCCTAAGCACCTATTATGTTAGATCCTGGGGTGCCCCCATGCAAGACCCAGCTCTGCCCGTGCTGAACTAGTGTCCCTGAACAGGCCTCTCTTGTCTTGTCTTTTCTGAATTCATTGGCTGGTCCCTGAAGTGAAGGATTACATTGAAGTAAAGATTGTAGGCATCTTTGTCTTTCTTTCTTTCTTTCTTTCTTTCTTTCTTTCTTTCTTTCTTTCTTTCTTTCTTTCTTTTTTTTTTTTTTTTTGGTTTTCAAGATAGGGTTTCTCTGTGTCGCCTTAGCTGTGCTTAGCTGTCTTGGAACTCTCTGTGTAGACCAGGCTGGCCTTGAACTCACAGAGATCCACCTGCCTCTCCTCCTGAGTGCTGGGATTAAAGGTGTGCACCACCATCACCCAGCCATCTTTATCTTTTTTAAAAAAATATTTTATTTTTAACTGTGTGTGTGTAACTGTGTGCAAGTATGTGCATTGTGTACATGCAGTTGTCTGCAGAGGCCAGAAGAGGGTGTTGGATCCTCTGAAGCTAGAGTTACAGTTGGTTGTGAGCCACCCAATATAGATGCTGAGAACTGAACTCTGGTCCTCTATAAGAGCAGACACTCTTAACTGATGAACCATCTCCCCAGTCCCTTTTGCCTTGCTTTTGACCTTGGTAGGAGGACCTCAAATGCTGGTGTAGGATTTAGATGTATGCATTTGTTATGTTCAGAAGATATCCATTCCTGTTTCCCTGGGAGTTTTATTAGGAACGGGACTTGAGTGCATAAAAGACATGTGAGTGTCTATGAGAAAATATAATCTTATTCTTAGACCTGTTGTATATTGGTTTATGTAGTAAGAGGTCAGCTAAGTGTAAGTATTTAAGTATATACTATAAGTAAGGTCATCATTCCCAGTATAAACTCTACTTGGCCACTATGTATATTTTCTTGTGGTGGTGATATCAGTTTGACTGTATAGTAAGGTCCTTTCCAGCAATATTCCTAAGTGATGCTTCTCTGTAAGAGTCTCATGCGTGTAGTTGGCCTTAGGTTTCTCTCTGATGCTGAGGAACTTGTGGGAATCAGTTCTCTCCTTCCATCACATGGGTTTCAGGGACGGAACTCAGGTGACTGGGTTTGGTGGCAAGTCCCTTTACCTCCAGAGCTGTCTCACCAGCCCTATTTATGCCCTCTGTTTCTATAGGAATCAGCTTTGGTATCTAAGTGTATCTAAGAAATGATCCATGTCATCCCACTGGATTTCCACATTTATTTTCCTGGAGGTGTGTCAAGAGCACTTTTATTTCTCTCCTAGAGGATGAGTTGTCCAAGTTTATCTCATGTAGAGAACTGGATGAGGGTTATAGGGTCCTGGCAGCTGCTGATCACACCCTGGAGAGGAGATGTGCTGCTGTTGGTGGCCCCTTCCGTTAGAGTGCCCCTGGGAAGGTTTGTGGTTCAGTGGGTTCTTCTTCCTTCCAACTTGGAATTCCCCGGGAGTCCGTGGTCACCTCCAGAAAGTATCCTATCACCTGGGTGCTATGTTGGGGACAGATATGCTGGCAGTGCTCAATACCAGTTTGCCTCAGTAGGTCTGATGCATTCCCTCTCTGACTCCCTTTTGGCTCAAGTGTACGGGAGCAGCCCTGACCTTGCTGAGGTCAAACACGGGCTCCTGATCATTGCTTGTTGTTTTTCAGTCTGTTTCCGCTTTCCTTACACTGCTGGGCTCACACTCTTTGAAAAGCTGATGAAAACCACAGATACCGCTCACACACACACACACACACACACACACACACACACACACACACACACACACGCACGCACGCATGAAGTGGCTCAGTGAACACACATATGTCCTGAGCACAGCATACACACACACACACCCTTCACCGGTGTCCCCCAGGGGACTGCCTCTCCCAGCTCCCACTGCCGTGTGCTTTTTACAACATTTCTCGAGGGAGTCCTGGACTGATCCCTCGTGTCACCTGCACTTCAGCTTGAGAACACCTGCTCTCAACCCATTTGAAAGGGACAATGAAAACCTCATCCTTCCAGCAAACACATGGCCTGTTGGTTTTGTGCCAGGCCCAGTGGGTGTGCAGATGAATGAGACCTGGTCCCTGCTTTTGCCTGGATACCGTGGAGCCAGTATGGGACACAGCCTGGTAAACAAATGGGGACAAATGAGGTGCTGTGATATAGTAACTGGCTTTTGTTGGTCTGACTAAAAATAGGCCTGTATACTAAGTAAGCTGGCTTGCTGGACACACATGACATCCAGAGATGCTGCCCTTTGTGTCACGTTAAAGACAAGCCTTAATGAACCCACTTTAGACAAATTAGGTCTCCAGGTGCCCCAGGAAAAGGGTGCAGAGGCCTGA